CTCTCTCTCTCTCTCTCTCTCTCTCTCTCTCTCTCTCTCTCTCTCTCATCACAACTCAGAGACTTATATCACCACCCATGAGAAACGACAGCAGCCGTATTAAACTAATAACGCAAATGGTATGCATTAGCTTCATCTCCCGTTTAAAAATTAAATGAAAACATACCCAGCAAAATAAGAAATGCCCTGATGCACTAAACATCTCTTCCTGGTAGTCAAAGCAGCTTGAAGTATATTCCACAAATGATATTTGTTCCAGATCTGACTGGAACTTCAAGTTCTCGTGCCGTAAATGCTTCGATCTAAAACCTGAAATTCACTTGTCGATCAAGTTATGGCTAACCACAACACACCTGCTGCTCACTCGTCTTTTCTGAGAAGCAAGAGTTGCTTAATACATGGAGGAATAAGACTGTTTGTTACACAGTTAGTTGAAATAGATCTTCGCTTAAGTTACGAGACCTTTTGACCAACGCAAGTGTGTTTTTTTTTTATGTTTATCAAGTCGGTTAAAAAGGACAATCAATCCAGCAAATGAGTTCTACACACATGCAATGCACAAAACTTTGACCTCAGACATATGGAAAAGACAACAGCTTAGCAGAGAATATATGAGCAAAACAATTAGAGGCAGGCAACAAGTAGAGAAGTAAAAACCCCGGCAGCAATACCTTTTCCATCGTCAGTCCAACACACGCATTTCCTAATCATTTCCAACAGAGAGGAATTTTTACCCTTTCACAAAATGTACTACATCCCAGACTCGCCCTCGATCACATTGAGACAGGAGTACAGCATGAGGGAGGAGCGTGGAGGCGAGCACAAACCTGCTCTCACAGCCGTCAGCTGGAACCACGCACAGTGAGAGCCAGGATAAACAGATTACCCATATCCACATAACCTGCCGTACAGAAACACATGACGCACACGTACATACACTTGGTGTATTAAATCTTGATATGTATTATACACATGTATACGTATATATACACACACATTTGGATGGCATGTACTTGTGAATATCAGTGAACACAGAAAGAGGGGAGGGGAGGGAGGAGAGTCTTGAAGTTCAGTTTCATTTGAAATCAGGGAAACATGCAAATCCATAAATCCCTATGAGGAATGATGGGATATACTCCATGACACAGAGAGAGGGGGACTTTAATCATTTAATCTGAAGCTAAAGGATGTTATGACACGAGTCTTCACCAATCTACAGTATGCTTGAACATACATTCATTAGACTGCAAGCTTCCTGCTAGACAACTCTGGGAAGTTATAAGGGAGAGGAAAGTGTCAAGTGCGAGGCATTTTCTTTCTTTAAAACAGTAGTCACCATCGGGCATTAATAACAGAACATAAGAAAATGCAGTTTTGCACATTTAAATTAACCTAAATTGGAGATCACATTATCACACTATATACACACACACACACACACACACACACACACACACACACCTATTGATGGCTGAATACTGAAATATTCCAACCAATATTGTTAATCGTACTTGATTCATTTTGAACCAGATCCGTTGTTGGTTGCATGCTTAAACATAATTGTTGTCTTGCAGTCTTCATGAGTCGGCACAGTGCTCCCTCTAGTGGAAGACTTTGAGAAGACAGTAACAACTGGGACAAAGCTGTAAGGCCCAACTAGAGGGCAGTAAGAAGAAGCAGGTTGAGGGACAATTTATAAAAAAGAAAGAAAGAATAAAAGATTTTAAGGCTAAAGATACACAAAATGTATGCATTCTTAGCAGTCAGTAACTACATTAAACAAATGCACTGCCTGCAAGGAGCTAATTAACCTGAATTATACCATCAGGAGTTAATCAAAACAAATCTTGATGGAAACGGTCCCCTCCACCCTTCACACAATGAATAATGCATTTCATATTTCAAATACCCCAAAGCCAAACTGATAGAGGTTTGTAAATTATAACCAGCACTCGTCAGTGACGATGACTACACCTTGGAGAACACTATAATCACAGTCATCTCCATTATCGCAGGCAATCACCGTCTTATTCTCCAGTTTGGTTTTTCATATCGAGGAGGTGGCTCTGTGCTTTGTCTAAAATAATGAACCTCCCTTTTTCCTCCGGCTAGCCAGACACTCATTTATCTCCACTAAATGATGTGAAACACTGTGGAGAATGAAGTAATTAGAGTGTGGGGATAATTAAAACTGTTCCATTTTGCCTCCTTTTCCTCAATCTTGCCACCGTGTGACTGCAGGCGGTGGGTGAAATGAGGTAAGACGCAATCTTCAGCACTTTGGAGGCTTTCCAAAGAGCAGAGTGGGGAAACAAAACCATGGCAAAAAAGGGCAACCCAAATTTAAAAGGATAAATAACATGTTTTTTTTTTTTTAAGTTCCCAGGGAGTCTGTGGCAAGTTCCTCTCATTTATTTTAACAAGAGTTAGCATCCAAGTGCTCCAGGTCAGGGCCCACAGTCGACTGGATAGCTATAGGGAGCGGAGCAGTTTGAGAGCCAACGGCAGCCTCCTACTGTTTATGTTAAGGAGCGGCAGGGTGTTCGTGAGGAGGAAGAGGGTAAACAAGGAGAGGAAGTCACAAGGAAACTAGGACGACAGAAGAGAAAGAGTGTTCAAACCAAAGATAATGAGAGAGGATTATCAGAAAGGACAAAAAACACTGAGCTGTCACATCTGACAAAGGACATGGTCACATTGTTGTACTCAATTATAGGGACAAAATATATGACAATAGATCAAGTAGCCAAGTAAAATGAAGGGTAGAGAGAAAGGAGGATGAAAAAATGAGGCCAAAACAGACAGCAGATGGAAATTAGGAGAGATACAAGACAGCACACATTAAGACTGGAGCAGGAAGCGAGACACTGAAAGGTGAAGATCATGACTTTCCAGAGCTTTGTTAATAAAATTGCACACTCTGATGTACCGTTTTGCCCTGTACTGCCTTGCAGGGCTTTTTTTTCTTCTTCTATTTGTATGTGTAATAGCATCCGATGATAAACCAAGAAGCCCGTGACAAAGCATTAAACACCAAGGGACAACATATTACAGACATGGGTAAGCAATATCTGAGTCTCAAGCCTTACTGTGTGTCCAAAAGAGACTAAATTATTTCACACGTATCATCATGAACAAACCTATTGGTTGAGGAACAAAAATAAATTGTACTCATTTTGTGCCGACTGAAGACTTGACTGTTTTTACTTAATTTGCATATACAAATGTTGCCCTCGTTTAATGGTAATAAGATGCTACAATGAGTTTCTTTCACTATAGAAAACAACATACAGCTAGTCTGACACCAGTGACATTGCATAATCTTTAACACATTAAAATGATTAAACTGCACACTTTCCAAAAAGCTTTTATATAAAGATGACATGCTGCATTTTGTGTTTCACTTGTTAGAATAGATTTGAATGGATTTCTTCTTGCATGTAGAAACACTATGAGCTTGGAACAGCAAAACCGCTTTAAATGTTAATTAGAAGCTGTGCGGAGGTTCAAACTGTTGTAAAGTTTAACAAGTTTAGAACTGCTGGATGTTTTCCCCACATTACGTGCACCAAATGAGACTTAAAAGCCTCTCGTCCTTATTCAGCCATCCTGGCAACCCTATCTGTCGGTATTTCTCTCATCTTCGCATACTTTGCTTCAAACGAATAATGGCACATTGGAGTCACAGAACCACCACTGTCCCACCGGACTGGAGCCGGCTCTGACCTCCCCCATTAGTTCGCCCTCGAGACTGAAGCTCACTGACACATATCCGAGACAGAACACAGCGCTGTCCCTTCCCTCTCCTCTTTTGTCCATGTCTGGGATATCGACAGAGAGGTACAAAAAAAAAAAAAAAAAAAAGAAGAAAATTGTTTCCGGTGGTTACTGGTTATCAGACATTGCCATGGTAATGGAAGTGACAACCGTATCCAAGGGAGACCGGCTGGCACTACGGCGCGTCCCAGCAATCACCGCGCCGACCCTGATCAGACCCGACATAATCTTAATTAGCCAGTGATGCCGTTCACTCACCTGTCTGTCCTCATCGCTGTGCTCCAGACCGCGCGTGCACACACACACACACACACACACACATCTGTTCATGTGCTAGGACTGACACACAAGCTATTGAACACACCACAAAATAATCCTGCAATATGTTGTCAGCACTGTATGAAAACAAATCTGTTATTTATGTAAGAATACGATAATGGTTACAGTAGGTTGTAGTTGTCAAAAGAAATATAAAATGAACTGCATGACTTAATCATCAAGTTAAGTTCACTACAAAGCAACTTCAAGGCAGTTATGAGTGTGTGAACTATGGCTGTGTGTGCGCGTCAGACCACTTACACGCTTGTGTCAGATCTTTCAGTTGCAAAACAGTCTTTGTGTAAAAGGTCACAAGTATCACATAAGAAAAAGCCTGTGAACATTTTCCAGCTTTCTCGTTCCATACACACAAAACAATCTGACACGAATGAAGAAATATTTAGGATAAGGCCTGCCAAAGGGTTTTCATATGATCATAAACACATGGACTCTCAGTATTTGTTCAAACGTACATCCAGAATGTGTTGAATAGTTGGTCAGTGATATCAGCGTTTTCATTTTTCTGTACGACAGATCTGAGACAAGAAACAGGGAGGAATTAACCACACTGCTGCTGTAGTCAGCAAGCTGAAAGATGGCAGCACAATAATGCAGCTAACCAGCCACTTCAAACACCAGCATTGATCCACAGGTCACACACACACACACACACACACACACACACACACACACACACACAC